TGTGTGGAAAGGAGAGGAATGAGGAGGGGGAGGGCGGTGAGGCGGCGGTAACAGCACGAAACACCGCCACCCACTGCGCCTGCTTCAGCATTGTTGGCCAACACCAGGAGGTAAGGAAAAAGACGGGAGACATGGGGGAGAGGTGAGGAGGGGGAAAGTGAGAGGGGAGGGGAGGGAGTGAGAGGGGGGGAGGAAGAGTGAAAGGAGGGAGGGGGGAAGAGTGGGGGGAGGAGGGAGGGAGGAGGAGGAGGGAGGGAGAAGGAGGGAGATTAGGGAGATAGATAGAAAGATAGTGAATTATTTAAAAAATCAACCGAAGGCGCACTGGGAGGGACAGGAGGGAGCGACGGAGCACCTAAGGGGACCCAAATATTTGTGCGCCGTAACTTGTGCCTGCTCCTGGCAATGAACGCGGCGACGTGACGTAGACGTGGGAGAGGAGAGGAGAGGGGAGAGGGAGAGGGAGAGGCGAGGAATGCGAATGCGCGATTGAAAGAGAGCGAGCGTGCTGATAAAGAGCAAAAGCGGACATATGTTTACTCTACGCAGCTAATCAACCACTTCAAATCAGAGGCGGAGGGGGGGGGGGGAGGGGAGAAACCTTGTGGTACCTGCGACAATGAAGGAGATAACGGCAGGTACCAATCACCAACCTCCTGCCCCCCCCCTCCCCCTCTTCATGCCTCCCTACGCTACTACATCTGATAAGCGTTATCACTAGCTCCTTTCAGTCATCCAATCTCTCTCTCTCTCTCTCTCTCTCTCTCTCTCTCTCTCTCTCTCTCTCTCTCTCCTCTCTCTCCTCTCTCTCTCTCTCTCCTCTCTCACACTCTCAACACAAAGACAAAAGAAAAGAAAAAAAAATCAGAACGGGACAGAAAAGGAAAAAGGAAGACGAGAAGGTGGGTGGTGGGAAAGCCCCCCACCCCCACCCCTACCCCCACCCCCCTATATACCTGGGCAGCCGTTAATTGCTGTTTACCTGCCGCCGTCGCCGCTGCCGCCTTCGATTCCATGTGAGAACCTGCAAGGTCGGCGGCCTACCTGTTACGCCTCTTATCGTGTACCTGCGTCGGCGCGCGTGTGAGAGAGCGTGCGTGTGTGTGTGTGTGAGCGTCTGAGTGTGTGAGCGAGTGGAGCGAGTGCCCGGCCAGATAAGCCTAAGGGATATTAACCGTCGACCTGCAAGTGAAGTGGCGACAGGTGCTTAGGAGGAGGATGGGGAGGGAGGGGTGGAAGGAAGGAGAGAGAAGGGAAAAGGGCGGAGGAAGAGGAAGAGATGGAGAGAAAAAAAGACAATCCGACAGACAGAAAAGGTAGGAGAGGAGGAAAAGGGAGAGAGAGAGAGGACGGAAGAGAGGAAGAGAGGAGGAGAGGAGCAGCAGCAGCAGGAGCCGAAGCGGAGGCAATTTAAACTCCCCAAGACCCGCCGCGATGACTCGTAGGAATCCGCCGTTGGAGAAAGCGGCTGGCGGTCACTATCTATCCCCTCCCCTCCCCCCCTTCCCCTCCCACTCCTCTTCCCTTCTCCTCCCTCCCCAAATTCTAACCGACTGGATCTGTCAGCCTACCGCGCCTAGGGATCCCTCCCTCCCTCCCTCCTCCCTCCCTCCCTGCCCCCCTCTCTCCCTCCCTCCCTCCCCGAAAATGGCAAGTCACTGGATTTGGAGCGAGTCCGGCGAGTCACCAACACGACGAAGCAAAATCGGGAGGCATCGCGAACCACACACACGCACGCACTTCATTCATACATACATACATACATACGACACACATGACACGAACGCATGCATGGATACGAATAAATAAACAATAATACGCGTGTCTACATGAGCAAACACCCAGGCACGGACGCACGCTCTCCCCTGCCAGCGAGGTGTTTAAAGGGTCGGGAAAGAAGAGGAAAAACCCCCCCGACCGAACGCGACAAGAAAGGGGACTCGCCCACCGAAAACGGGCGCCCGACACTCCCCCGTGGCGAAGGCGCTGACGACGGAAACCCGCGGAGGCACGTCGGCGGGCGCCCTATCTCACACGTCAAAAAAAAATCCTCCCCCCTCCCTTTCCTCTCTACTCCCCTACCCTACCCATCCCCGTCCCATCCTCTCCCCCTCTCCCTTGCCCATCCCATCCCATCCCATCCCTCCTCCCTTCCCCCTCCCTTCCCCATCCCCCACCCGCCCGTCCTCTATCCTCTAACCTTGAACCTACGCGCCGTCCACGACGAAAATTCCCCGCACTGCTATCTGGAAGGGATGGGGGAAGGACGGGGGGGGGAGGGAAACACGTGCAATGCAAAGTGCCACTTGCGGTACACCTGTGCATCCCCACCCCCCTTTCCCTCCTTCCTCCCTCCTATTCCTGTCCTCAACCTCATAGATCCCCTTACGCCCACACGCCTACGCCCACACACACACACGCACAAACAATATTCAAGACCACAAAACAAAACAAACAACAAAACGACACCAATACGTAGGGCAAAATGTGTGTGTGGGGGGGGGTATCCACGAGTGACCCGGGCACAGCGCACCCGGGGCGAGGTCACATTACCACATACCAGAGCGGACACAGCGGGAGGGAAGTTGGGCAGGGAGAGAAAATGGGGGAGGAAGGGAGGGGGGGGGAGAGGAGAGGTGGGACGGAGGCAGGCGGAGGGAGGGAGGGAGGGAGGGAGGGAGGGAGGGAGGGAGAGAGGAGGAGGGGAGAGAGAGAGAGAGAGAGAGAGAGAGAGAGAGAGAGAGAGAGAGAGAGAGAGAGAGAGAGAGAGAGAGAGAGAGAGAGAGAGAGAGAGAGAGAGAGTGTGTTGTGACTTCCAAACAGCTAAACCAATGAGTTAACCAATCAAATCAACATCGCAACGAAGACAAATAAAATAAACATACAAACAAATAAACAGAGAAATAAAACAATAAAATAAACAAAGAGGAAGAGAGACCAACAAACGCGAGTCGACTGCCCACTCCCCGCCACCGCTGAGACAGTCTTTGATTTAATAGACGGCCACCAGCCCCCCCCCCCCCCCGCCCCTCCGTGCTGGAATCTTGATTGCGTCGCCTTACCTGCTCCCCTCTCCCTCTCCCCCTCCCATAAACCCTCCCCCATCGGCCCTCTCCCCTCCCCATCCTCCTCCCCTACCCTGGCCTCCCACTCCCCCCCTCACCTCCCCATCCTCCTCCCCTACCCCTCCTCCCCTCTCCCCCCCCTACTCCCTTCCACGTTCCTAAGGTACTCCCCCAAATCTGGACATACCCTCCCTCTTGCCCTAGTAAGGTAACTAGGGGGGGTGGGGGAGGGAGTGGTCGCGCAGTCTTACATATTACATAAGGAATCATTCAACCGCTCTTAATCCTGACGACTGACGGGAAGAAACAATGCAATAAAAAGGGGAAAGGGGGGGAACGAGGAGGAAGAGACAATGCAAGAACGGAAGAAAATGAGGAGAAAAGAAACAGGCGAGAGAAGGATAGGAAAAAAAAAGCCGAGGGGACTGAACGGTGGGGACCCGCACCACCACCGACAGTGAAGTGTGGCTACTCCATCCCGTAGAGTTTTTCTCTCCCTGCCTCGGTTCGTACGCCACAGGCCAGCTCTAAAGGCCAGACCGGAAAAAAAAACAAGAAATACTACACTGATTGCGTATTGTACGTGAACCACGGACAGGAAGTAACAAAAAAATGTGTGTGTGTGTGTGTGTGTGTGTGTGTGTGTGTGTGTGTGTGTGTGTGTGAGAGAGAGAGAGAGAGAGAGAGAGAGAGAGAGAGAGAGAGAGAGAGAGAGAGAGAGAGAGAGAGAGAGAGAGAGAGAGAGAGAGAGAGAGAGAGTGGAGAGAGAGAGTGGGAGAGTGGGAGAGTGGAGAGTGGAGAGAGAGAGTGAGAGAGAAAGAGAGGAGTGCCAGAGAGCAAGGAATGCGTACCAGCCGTGGGACTTGTTTGTCATGCAACCCTTGGCCACCCTATTCCCATCGCTCCTGCGCATCCCCAACCCCACCCCCGCCGCGCTCTCTTTCCCCAGCCCTGCCAAACACCCTCGACATCCCCCCCTCCCCTCTCCCTCTCCCCCCTCCTATCCTCGCACATCCAATCCGGTAACCTTGGCTCCCTGGAGGTGGCATTTCCGACCATACGCGACAGATGTTTGCGGAACACCTGTCTCCGTAATGATCTATTCCTCGCTCCCTCTCATTAATATGGATGAGCCGGGCGTCGCGCGGCCCGAGACGGACGGAAGAATAGGGAGGCGAGGGAGTGGGCAGGACAGGAGAGGATAGAAGGAATAGGTATAAAGCACCGCGAGCAAAAAGAAGGGAAGGGAGAGAGGGGCGAGACATATATAGAAGGAAGGAGAGTAAGCAAGGGTGGAAAGGCAACTCACAGCTGATAGTCTTGTCCCAATGACGCAATCGCAGGCGCCAACGAGACGCGGCGCCCCCCACCCCCTCTTCCCCCGTCACATGTTAGTAAGCCTCCCCCTCCCCTTCCCCCCCCCTTCTCACACCAACCCGCCAATGCCTGACACTCGCGCGGTCTCGATTCTAACGCAGACTGGAGAAGGGAAGGGATGGAGATAGATAGCGAGGATAGGAAGTGGATAGACCAGGAAACACGGAGACTTCTTTCCCCCTTTATTAGACCCCCTTACAAATCGGATCAAAAGGGGAGAGAGGGATTCCTTGGTCGAACTTTGGTCACGGAATGAAATAAAAACTTGAACCTGAGCCCGGAATTCAAAGGGCGATCCGCGGCGAGTGAAAAGGGGAAAGAGGAAGGGAGCAGGGCATGGGAGGGGCGAGAAGGGCAAGGGAGGAGGAGAGAGAGGGGGGGGGGAGCTCAATCTATCTTTCATGAGTGGAGCCCCAAGGAAATGTCAACGGGGTGGGGTTGTAGTCATCTCCCGCGCTGCCCCGCCCGGAGAAACCTCCCCGTGACTCACCGGGACCTGCGGCCCGGGAGGCGCGGGCGTGAGTCAAAGCATGCACTCGAGGACTTAGGCCTACTCACCGGAGTCTGATGGGGTGTGGAGAAGCGACGACGACGGGTAATGGCGGCGGTGTAACGATAACGTCGACGACGATGTGGTGTGTGTGGAGGTGGAGGTGGGGGACGAAGATGACGACGACGACGACGACGATGACGCCGACACCGACGAGGACGAGGACGAGGACGAGGACGACGAGGACGAAGACGTTGACGACGTCCGCGTCGCTGGCGAGGGTATTCTAGAGCAGTAGTAACTGTGGTCGATGTGAACGATGTCGAGCGAGGAGCTGGGCGGCTCTTCGCTCGTGTAGACCTCCTCCTCGCGACACACGCCGTAGTGGTTGTTGGCCTCGATGTCCTCGTCCATGTGGTCGTTGTCCTCGTCCGTGTCCGTCTCGGAGGACTCGGAGGGGGTGTCGGGGCGGGCCACCTGGTGTGTCAGGGTGTGGTGCAACCCCGCAGGGTCCGTCACCGCGTCGATCTGGGCCTCGTCCTCGGGGCTGTGCAAGTCCGCCAGGTGTGTGAATCCCGCGGCGCACTCGAGGGCGCCCGACGAGTCCATCAGGATGTCTGTGATGTGTGAGCACGAGTCCCTGTGCGTGCGGCTGTACTGGTGGTGCGAGTGCGCCTCGGCCGTGCACGTGCCCTGCCACATGCAGTCATGGCGGAGCTCGGAGCCCGCCAAGGCGAGCTGTGTGCAGCTGTTGCAGTTCTCCTGGGCGAGGCCGTGCGCGCAGGGCACGGGCTCGGGCACGGTGCTACCGCTGAGCAGGAACTCATCCAGGTCAATGTTGTCCAGGTCCACGTCCAGTTCATCGCCCTCCAGCAGGGGCAGGTCAATGGGCAGCAGCAGGTCGTCGGGCAGACTCCCCAGGTCGAACTCGGTGTCCCTGAGCGGGGAGCGCGGCGGGGTGGGGATCAGCTCGAACTTCTTCCAAATGTCGTTGGAGAGCGTGGGCCCCTCCTGGGACCACGTCACGTCCGGGTCCAACTCCAGCATCTCGTTGGTCGCCAGCCACACGCGGTCCTGCGGGAGGAAACAGACGCTTTAGACACATGCTCAGCCGGGCCGCTACCTCAGGGGGCTCCCCTCGCCCTCCCAAGCACCACTTACCCAGCAGCCGCCACCGAAGGGGTCAGCCTGGGCCTCCGGGCGGGCCAGATGGGCCATTGCAACGGGTATGGGTACGGGGCGGGGCGCACGCTTGGCACTTGGGCTCGCAACCGCTCTGCAACGCCACGCTGGGGGTCCTGGCCGCCACACGCTGCAGAGGCCGACCACATGGAAGCAAAGAATCGATACTGGAAGCTTGCATCACATGTGAACACGGGCGCTCGGCCGCCCGCGTCTCCAGACGCCCCAGTGCATGTGCACCTGCCCCTAACCCTGTACCAACTCCCCGTCCCATACATTCCCCTGCGTTAGCCCTTCTCCGCCTAGGCTCCCCTCCACTCCCCCCACCCCGCCCATCCCATCCTCCATTCCAATCCCATTCCTTGTCCCAAATCCAGGAAACTCGCGTCTAACAGGAATCCCACTCGAGGCCGCTTCCCTCTGGCATCAATCAATAGAGGAGAAAAAAGGGCGCATCACATTCATCGCTCACTTTGCCTTCCGGATGCGTGGCAGCGCGGGTTTCACCACCTGGCGGACTCGCGGGGAGGGCGGGCGGGGGTTCTCGATACAAGGCCTGGCAAGGAAGCGCAACCGCGCTCAAAAAAAAAAAGGAAGAAATACTATCCTGGAGTGAAACAACAAACCTAATCTTCCCCGAGACTTTGACACGGCCGCCGTCAGCGCAAAAGAAATAAAGTCATTTAAACACCACCTGACACCCCTCCCCGACTCCTCCCCAGCCCCGCCCCCTAAAACACCCCAAAACAACACTGCAGGCGTTGCACCAGACCGAGCAACACACACACTTTATCTATCTATCTATCTATCTATCTCTACACACACACACACACACACACACACACACACACACACACACACACACACACACACACACACACACACACACCACACACACAGAGCGCCAGCCGCCCATGACAAGCCCCTCTCTCTCCCTGTGTCCTTGAACGGGGTCTTATAAAGCTGGCAATGACCTTAGCACAGTGCAATACAATCTTGCCACCTCCGCCGCCGGTGAGTGAATTCTTTTTTTTTTTTCTTCTCTTCTTCTCCTCTTTGTTTTGTTATTGTTTATATGGCGTGTTTGGGAGTAATTTTGTTTTTAATCTTGGCGTATGCGCTGGCCGTTCGCTTATGGTGAAAGGAGGCCACGGAGGGGGTGGGGGGTGGGTGGAGAGGAGGAAGAGGAAAGGGAATAGGGAAATGATAAGAGAGAAGAGGAAGAAAGTTGGAAGGGTGAGGAGAGGAAGGCGAGAAGGAATGAAGGAGAGAGGATGGGAAGGAGGGATGAAGAGAGACCACAAGAGACAAGAAAGAAGTGAAGAAGTGGACTACAAGAATGACAACAAGAGAGAGAGAGAGAGAGAGAGAGAGAGAGAAGAGAGAGAGAGAGAGAGAGAGGAGAGAGAGAGAGAGAGAGAGAGAGAGAGATAGAGATAGAGATAGAGATAGAGATAGAGAAGAGATAGAGATAGAGATAGAGATAGAGATAGAGAGAGAGAGAGAGAGAGATAGAGATAGAGATAGAGAGAGAGAGAGAGAGAGAGAGCGGCGAACGAGCGAGAGAAGAGAGAGAGAGAGAATAGAGAGAGATAAAACACACACACACACCTCCAGCCTCCCACGGAAATCACAGCATGAATCTCGTCATCCGGCGCGACTGAACCTCACACGCCTCTATGACAAGAGGGACTCCCTACTACGGCAAGATTTTGGCGGGATTTTCTCTTTTCCAGAAGCGAGAGTGCCATGATGCTGGCGTCCGTAAGCTCAGGGGGTCGATAGCGCTTGCCCCTCTCTATTTCTCTCTTTCTCTTCTCTCTCTCTCTCTCTCTCTCTCTCTCTCTCTCTCTCTCTCTCTCTCTCTCTCTCTCTCTCTCTTCTCTCTCTCTCTCTCTCTCTCTCTCTCTCTCTCTCTCTCTCTCTCTCTCTCTCTCTCTCTCTTCTCTCTCTCTCTCTCTCTCTCTCTCTCTCTCTCTCTCTCTCCTCCCCCTCCCTCTCTCTCTCTCTCTCTCATCCTCCGTCTCTCAGTGAAAAGAACTACACAGAGAACTTCAAATATAAGGACATAACAAGAGATGCGGAAATGACAATGCTCAGAGAGAGAGAGAGAGAGAGAGAGAGAGAGAGAGAGAGAGGAGAGAGAGAGAGAGAGAGAGAGAGAGAGAGAGAGAGAGAGAGAGAGAGAGAGAGAGAGAGAGAGAGAGAAATCAACGTCGAGTAGAGGATGAATCCGAAACCCCCAACTCCCCCCCCCTCCCCCTTACCGAGGTTGGTAACTGGAAGGAGACATTCCAAGTATTTCCTCGAAGCCCCCCCCCCCCCCCCTACCCCCACAGCGGCTCTTCGGGGAAAAGCCTCCGATTGACTAAACGCTGACTTACTCTTCCTT